CCTGCCTTTCAAAACCCTGGCATTACATACATATTTTGAGGAATTGTGGGATACGGGATAGACACGCTAAATACCACACTTCATTTTTTGCAGAGTTGAAAATGGATAGCAAATCTGAATTCTATAATCCACAAACCTGTTCTACTTGACTGGCAAACATCGTTGACAGCTCGCGCACAAGAGTCCCAAAAGTCCTTGTCCTTTGCCATTGGCCATCTGTTGTTCCAGGCGTCCTTCCAAAATAAACAGATATACTGCACCAATGCTGATGTCTCTTTAAGAGTCCAATTTTCTGTTTTGCAAGCGAAAGATACTTTAGTTTCATCCTCTGCGCATTGCGTTTCATTATAAAACAAAGATCTTCTCGATTTTCCTTCGACCGGTCGTTTGCTGGTTGGTTTCCCTGGTGTATTGCCTTCGACAACACAAGGTCTTTTGGCGGCCATATTATTGAATCAACCTGTCAAAATAACAAAATTATCATGTTTTATATCGATTAAAACGGGAAACACAACGGGGAGCGTTGGGGAGCGGTAACAAATAACTTTAGTTGAACGTTTGAACAAACAGTTACGAGCACTTTAACCACTCAAACAGTAATGTATACTGAATTACACATTAAAGTAAAAGGACATCAAATAACTTGTAAAAAACGTGCCATGTTTGTTTAAAAAATACAGTCCGGTTGGACACAGCAAATCTCCCAAAAAATGTTGTTCCATTTTCAGAAATAAATGCTAAAGGCATTAAATTGCTTTTCATACAGTTTCATGTCATCACTAACGTAAAAAATAAGAGATTAAACTTACCGAATTCAGCGTGATTGGTCGCCATCTTGAAAAATCTACAACCATCGTGCTTAGCGGTCGTTATGCGCACACCGCCTGCACACATCCCGAACACATGGTGGATGCGCGCGCATCCTAATAACATAGGTAACCCATAACAGCTACATTTGCTACAGACATAAGTCGCGGTATCCATTCAAATATATAGGACTATATTCGCTACATTGCTACATTTGCTACAGACATACTAGTCGCGGTATGCATTCGAATATAAAGGACTATATTTGCTACATTGCTACATTTGCTACAGACATACTAGTCGCGGTATACCAATAATATATACCAACATTTGATTCCCTATACCAATGCTGTGCTGAGTGGTTATATTACTACCTCGAAACGTCGAGTTTCTGCTTATTTTTTAAGGTAGTAATATACCACTCAGCACAGCAAAATGAGGTGTACCCCGTGTTTTTATTAACTACAATGTAAGTCGTGCGCGAGCCAATAAATTTCGTTTGCATTGCAAATTGTCAACAAAAATTAGCCCTTGGAACACCCATCCTGTGGAACATCGCATAAATTTTGCCTCCTCCGCAGGCTCCTCTATGTAGATCAAATTTAACTGTATAGATCAAATTTAAATATCAGTAATATATAGATCAGCGCGTGCACTGCAAGTCCGATAGATAAAGGCGCACGCCTGCAACTAAGGACGAAATTTTTCGTTATTAAATTAACTATTCTAATTATTCGTTTTCCTCTTAATTATTCGGGGGGTTTTCGTTTTTCCTGATTAAGTATTTTCGTTTTTTTCTAATTAATTATTTGATAGCAAGCGACTGGGGACGAGGCAGGCATAAATTTGTTTTCCCCATGTTCAAGTCAGATATTACGAAGCATTAATAATTAAAGCTTGGAAAACAGCTCAGCCAATAGAATTCGTCCTTCTTAGAGCTGCAGGTTAGCTCAAACATGTACAGTTCTCGTCGACAGGAGCAACACTTCTCAGCATCATTTCCAATGATAAATATAGTATTATTCATTTGTCACACCAAATTTCGGTGACATTTCTTTTTGTATACAATTTACTTTCGAAGCTAAGCTGAATATTGTATAATAAAGTGGCTCACCTGCGACTTTCCACAGTTCTCACTTTTTGAGTAAATAAAACTGCAATTTTTTGTATTTTCTAAACTCAGTGATGATGAGAACTGTTGCAAATACGTATACAATGCACTTTCTATACACAAGAAAACATTTTAACGGAAGTGCAGCTATGACTGAAATCAGAGTAGAGGGTTATCGGAAATATATCATAAAAAACAAGTGCGAAATTTCAAATTATATTACTGAGAAGTGTGCGTGAGTACTGGCTGTCTCTGCTTAATATGTTGTTTACGTGTGTTAACAGAAATGTTATTAAATATTAACTATGATTGTACGTGCGGTATTTGGTCATTCGTTTGTATTGTTTTCCACGACTAGTTTTGTAAAACAGAAAGCGACCATGACATTATCTAAGTGTATCTGCTCTTCAGTTCAGTCCGGTTCACTGTTTTCTACATCTTCGAGAGTATTATTAAAAATTATTATTTAAAAATATTTAACAACGGTAGCCCTATCAGTTACCTGTTTTTCAAGGGTACTTTTCCGAGTATATGAATATAATTCGTTAAAAGATCACCTAGTGTCAAAACGGCAAAGATTTTCGTCCACATTTCATTTTTAGTTTATCATCTAAATTCCGACAATCCTGGCCAAAAGTCCTTGGGACAACCCAAAATTTTTGCATAATTTTATTGTTCTCTTCAGGGAAAGCAGATTTAACGCAAAATATGCTTTTGAACCAAATCCCCCTCCCCTCCCCTCCCCTCCCCTCCCCTCCCCTCCCCCATTCAATGTTGGTTTTGGGGGCATCCTTAACTGAAATTTTATGAACTTTCAACATTGAATTGGGGTGGGGAGGGGGAGGGGGGCGTTGCCTTTAGAATTCAAGGTAGAAAAGGGTGAGTGTCCCAAAACTTTTGTCCAGGATTGTAGCTGACGCGAACCGGCTTTGGTAACCAGAAGCGAATGGCAACAATGCAGCTGAGTGAATAAATCTTTCTCACGCATTACACGTTTACATTGGAATATTTTCCAGCATATTCATTTTTCTACAACTATCACAAAATGATATAACGCACTTGTTAGCTTCAAACAATTTCTGGTTTCAGCAGGAAAAATCGCAAAAGACAACTCGTTGCAACTCGTGGTGATCTCAAAAATCCGGGTGGGCATTGGAATTCTTCTGCAAATCCGCTTAGTCTGATGTAAATGCATTTTTTTTTAATAGAAGATGTGTGCCAGCATAAAATTTTATAATGCTTGGTCGTATTTTTTTCGCGGAAAAAGTATTTGAAATTGTTCTATGTGTAGAATGATACTAGGAATGATAGAATGACTAACACCCCGGATTTTATTGTTTCATATTGAAATTTACCGTAGTTTAATTTCACATTCACTTTCAGATTCGCACTATAAAACATGATAATCTGGACAAATAAACTGCTGCAACAGTTTTAATGCAGCCCATAACTTAAATGCACTTCATTTAACGCGGTTTTCATTGCGATTCATAATTGTGTGCGTGCAGGAAAAATCGAAAAAGACAGACCATCAAGACGTGAATTCATGCTGCGTCATATTTACGTTTAGAGTAAAATTGGCCCATTTTTATTAATTTTTTTTAAATGCATACACAAAGGTTTTGCGACCGCCGACAGCGTCGATTTTTCACTCCTGCTTAGTTTCTCATGCGAAACAATTATGTCAAGTACATAAATACACAGCGTATATTAATATGGTTCGGCTCACCACAAACTTTTGTTGAGTGCCGATGTTTATTGGACGTAACTCTGCAAGATGTTGTTGTTAAAATTCCAAAATGTAATACGATCCGATATGAAGTCTGCGCTCATGTCGAATATTTCACTCAATATAGACAGCAGCCACAACAAATGAACAACAATGATGACATAATATTAAAATTAAATGTTAAAAGTAGAGCAAAAACCTTTATAATAAAGGCTCATCTTTGAAATTACCCAGTTACAGCGCTTCGAATTTGATACAACTTGTCTCGGCAAACACTTGTTTGTCACTGAACATCACACGCACATGAATGATTAAAGAAGCCGACCGAAGTGCGTTATGGCAAAAAATAATGGCGACCATAATGCATCGCGCTTGGTTAAAATTCAGATTTCAACCCCTATTTCAAAGTCTAGGCCTGCTGCCTTGCTTGGTCGCTTCAGGCGACCTCGCTGCGGCAGCAACAAGTAAGACTGTATTCTTCTATACTTTTGTATACTACTTCTAAGCTAAATTTTGGATCACATTCTTTGGTACTCCCATGCACCATATACATCCACATTAATATAAAACAACGATATACTTTTTACTGTGACTAAAATGTACACCAGTATATATATAATCAGATTTTACTATACTTTTTATCCACGGTGGTCTGTGGCTAAAAAGTATACCAGATTGCAGTATACTTTTTAGCGACGGCCGTCTGTGGCTAAAAAAAGTATACCAGATTTCAGTATACTTTTAGCCACTGAGGTCTGTGGCTAAAAAGTACACGATATTTCAGAATACTTTTTAGCGTCAGCGTTATATTTTTCAGTATATACTTTTTAGCCACGGCAGTCTGTGGCTAAAAAGTATACCAGATTTCAGTATACTTTTTAGCCATGGCGGTCTGTGGCTATAAAAAGTATACCAGATTTCAGTATACTTTTAGCAACTGAGGTCTGTGGCTAAAAAGTATACAATATTTCAGAATACTTTTTAGCGTCAGTGTTATACTTTTCAGTATATACTTTTTAGCCACGGCAGTCTGTGGCTAAAAAAGTATACCAGATTTCAGTATACTTTTTAGCCACGGCAGTCTGTGGCTAAACAGTATACCAGTTTTCACTATACGATACCAGATTTCAGTATACCCTCAGTTAACCACGGCGGTCTGTGGCTATAAAGAATACCAGGTTTTAGTATACCTTTTAGCCACAGTATATGTGGCTATAAAGTATACCATATTTTAGTATACCTTTTAGGCACGGCGGAGTGTGGTTATAAAGGATTCCAGATTTCAGTACTTTGGCTATAAAGGAGTCCTGATTTCAGTATACCTTTTAGCAACGGGTGAAGTATTTGTTTTTAATTTTCTTTGTTCAGAAAGTGGGCGGCAAAATATTTCAGTTGCTACGAACAGAATGTCTGTACTCCCCCACAAAGTCACAATAATAGTTAGTTCCGTTATTCCTAACTCGCGCGGGTTTATGCTCGCGGCACTTAATGTGAGAAGCCTAGTAAATCATATTGATGAGCTGCGAGTTTTGCTTGCTACTAGCCCGATCGATGTCCTAACAATAAATGAGACATGGCTTAATTCTACAATAAGCGATAACGATGTATATATACCTGGATACGAA